TTGTTTCACTTTCTTTGTTACTTTGGTGTTAAATGTCGCTTCGTTCCATGACGGACCAGACGGATCGTTCCTGCGACCATCCGTTTTCGATCGTTGAGGCACGCTTTGCCAGTGAGAAGGAACGTCTCGTGGTCAACAAGAAGTGATATTTCCAGGGGAGTTCGGCATTCTTCGCTGCATGAAGAGAAAAAGGATTTGAAGACAATGGGAAAGATCAAAAGTTGAACCACAAATGTCGGATGATGATGTTGGGACGTGAGAAGACCAGGGTGTTCTTGATTTTGGATTGGCGAAATAATATACAATGACGATACGTAGAAATGTATATGACATGTACAATCAGGACAACACTTGGAAACCATCCGAGTACGAAACAGCTTGCCAAGTACAACAGTGTGTTTGGGGCTTAAAGATTGTTTGATTTGTCACATTATCTGTGTTTATGCTCCTTTCTGCTGAAGTCTTTGGAAGCAGGGGAGTCTCCCCTTACATTTTGATACTGCAGTGATGCACGGTTTTTTTTTGCAGGCTGGTCTTCCCGCGAATCCCCTTGGTGTCTGCAGAAGATCTTCCGAAGCTGCGCATGAGCTTCGGCAACTGTCGACCATGCCCATGATGCTGAAAGCATTGGCACCGCGGCGAGAACATCAGTTACCGATCCACTGGGCGGAGCGGCAGAGGGTGGGAGGATGTGGGAGGAGGGGTGGGTGAAAGGAGCATACGGATTGTCGCAGGAAGACTCAGTAGACAAATAGACAGAACCCAAAATGTAATATTGCAGGACATGCAAAAAGATCCATCCAAATTGTTCCTCTCTATACTGTACCCTCAAGAAGGCTGCAAGGCTAGAAATGGCTAGAATTTTAGACGCGTTTTTCCTTGCTTCCAGTAGAGCTCCCTGACAATGTTAAGGCCACGCCATCGACTTGCGAGCCCTTCGTTGACGACTCTATAATGATGACAGAAGGATTTCGAGTGTTTGCACAGGCACCTACCCTGGAACAAGCAAGATACGTAATGCAAGACATAAACAAGAGATAGTATTCAAGATGGACTTCTGAGACATTACGAAACAAGTGCCACGCTAGTAGTAACAAGTGCCATAGTAACAAGTGCCTTACTAGTAGTAACAAGAAGCTATTAGAAACACTTGTTCCTAGTAGCTTCTTGTTATTCAAGATGGACTTCTGAGACATTACGTATACGTTTGGAGGCTTTAGTTCATCTCATGGTGGGATATAGACCGGGTAGATGCATATCGCAGGGGCGTGCGACTGTCGCGAAAGCAGCGAGGCTGTGCCGACCACAGAAAGACCGCACGTTGTGTGTTCACCTTTTGCGTGTTGAAAGCCCGTCGACACATCCTTTTTCGGTGATTTCTTCGCAAAGATTTGGAGTTGGTATATAAACCGTTTTGTGTGAGATCAACTATCAAGCCGAGCAAGTTCAAACAGTTGTCCTTTTGGTGCGATCTGCTGCGATCTGTCAATGAATGGAATGTTTATGATCTGTGATCCGATCCGGAAAGATTGCCGTGGCTGCAAAGATCAGGCGTACTTAGAGCATTTAAGACATGTTTGGAATGTTTGCTCTCAAGCTGATGGGTCTAGTTTTGGAACCTGGTACGCGTTGGTGGCGCTTCCTTGCTGTCGTACAGGTGGCGCTTGCTTTTCCTGCCATGGCTCATCGCTTTTGGCTCGAGGTTTTGGTGTCCAGTGGGGCTGATCTCTTGTATATCCAATCCAAACGGACAAGCTATTCTTATGTTTTGTTTCCTGTGGCCACTGTCCCTCATGAAGTGATAACACTCCCATGTTAATTAATTACTATGATATATCATATAATATGGTTATATGATATTCTATAATTTGATCATATTTTTGTTTTATCATAGTCTATATATGTTTATATGTGATTTCATGCTAACCTCAGGTCATCTCAAGTCAAGTGACTTGATTTGGTCAGAGTGATCCCTTTATAGTGCCCCATCCAACCCCAGCCGCTAGATGCGCCTTTCCGGAATTCGCATGCAATGCAGATGCGCACGGTGCCCTTTTTCTTCGCTGCGGAGGGCGGAAAAGGCGCTGCCTGGCAACGCAATGCCTACCTGCTGGATGAGATGTTGCCCGGCCAACCGATGAAGATGTTTCTGGCAGTGTGAAACATGGAATATGAGCAGGCAAAGGCAAAAGAGCATTCATATGCATTCATCCATTCACCGGTTTGGGCAATGTTTCTACTTCAACAGGACTAAGAAACGAAGGGATGATGGAACAAACACCCCTGCCTCCAACGGTTCAATCAGTGATATACCAGATCTGGCACGCAACTAGTTTTGCTTTGGATGTGGTGGTGCTGCGTTGTCGCCAAACGGCGGCCGAGTCACTAAGGACCTGGAAGCGCCAGGAGCTGAACGAAGTGCTCTATGGTCCCCTGGGGAGCATGGACGTCGACGACGTGGGCATGTGAGAACCAAGGGTAAAACACCAGGTGAATTATGTTTGAAAGAGCATGGACCCCAGTGTTGATGAAACAACACACACACATGTTCTGTTTTCTCCTTTGTAACGAGCGTAGTCGGCGTAGTCCAGACAGACAGCTCCTTAGCCACTGAAAATGCAATTTTCCTGTCAGAGGCTTTTTGCAAGGGCTGTGAGACCAGTCTCCCTGCTATGAAGTGTTATAATTTGTTTGGGCTCCCCAGAAGCACCGCAACCGGTGGCAAGTCAACATAGAGAGCCCTGGGTTGGGAGCAGACTTTGTCAGAAATTTGGCCTGACAATTAGAAACATGCCAAGATTGCGCGCCAAAAAGGTCGAAAATAGAATAGACTGATGTGGGTGACATGTCACTAAGGAGTTGCCATGAATGCCTATGCTAAGAGCTTTCATTGGAAAGATGCTTCCATTTTGTTCCTTGGCATTTGCATTGACTTGAGCCACAGAAAGGCCGCATTGAGTGGATCTCCAGATTGTGTGGCACGGAAAACTGATCTCGACTACCATGAATCGTATCACTATGGATACTGTAACTTGTGCAGCTTTGTGTAATGCCATTGACCTGAGTTCATGAGTTCATGGAAGGCAGAAGGTGTTGTGTTTTGCTTTTGCAAGGGTTGACCATCGGACTGCCTACCACATGATTCATTGCGCTGGAGGCTTGATGAGCTGTCAGACGCACAGCTGAAGTAAGAGCGATGGGGAGAGAAAGACAGAGAGGCAGAGGGAGGCATGCCAGACAAGACAGAGAATCCCATGCATCCTAAAGCTTTCTGAACATGCTGACCAATCAGGACGCTGACCTGGAGTGCAACGTAGCGACTTGGGAGTGCGAAGAAGAGACAGGGACAGGGACAGATTCAACGATGACATGGGGCGAGTCCAAGCACAAGCGCTTGAGACACAGATAGTCACACCTCATAGTTTCAGTTTATACTATACATAATATACACATTGCTTATGGAAGAGGTGCACTGGTGACCACGAATCGAAAGCATTCTATAGTGGTAGTGGTACCCCCACTCATCCAGTATTCCAAGATATTCGGATGAGCCAAAGCTGAGCGCTGCTGAGCGCAGATCCGTTCATTTCACCCGGGCCTTCGTGTCGGGCGGCGAACCGGTGGCCCCATCACGTGTCAGTCCATCGGAGTCAGGTGATTGGTGGAACCGCTCTCTCATCCTGTGAGAAGGGATCTCAATGGAAGCAAGCCATAGCAACCATCGAGGCCTGATGGATTGGGGCTACATGCCGGCGGGTCAAGCAGAAAACACGATTGAACGCGCATGAAAACATGTTCGGGGGCCATTTGGCACCTCCAAGCAAGATCACGCCAAGAAATGCCGAGCTTTCTTTGGTGATTTCCGAGATTTGCAGGAATTGTCACGGACCCCCCAGCACTGTCGTTGTGCCAGCCTTTGTGTTCATGTGTTGGCTGCAACCCATTACCCTTAGTACACTGAGCACTGGGGTTGACCAACGGCCAGGTGTGAGAGGTAAAACAACCATGTTTGCGTCCAGGTTGATCTCCCGGATAGTTTGTCCTGCTCATTTCCAGTGGCAAACCAGGCTCGAGGGTTAGGACCCACAATAATAGGTCTTCCAACTTTCAAACTTCCGTGTTTGGCGCCAGAGTTGCACCCTAGACACAGTCGAATCGATTCATGCTTACCCTTCGAAAGAAACCATTGCAGTTTGGAGGCGCAACGGGAAAGGGAGTTGGAAATCAGCTTGGTGGCGTTCAACACCCTTCTCAGCACCTTGCTTTGCAATTGACGCTGTTTGGTTTGCTCTTCGTGTGCAAAATGGTGCCAGTTTGTCGGCGGACGACAAAAGAAAACCAAAACACACTCCAATCCTCGCGAGTCAATGACCCATGGAACACCCATTGGTCCTCACTCGGACACATACCCAGGTTCCGTCTCGGCCATGCGCTCGATGGATGATCCAAGAGCTTGGGCACTTGGAATCCTCCTGCCACTTTGGCCTAGTTGGGCCCTAATGAGGATGGACATTGATGGACTTGACATGTTATTTTCGACTTTTCTGCTACGAAGGGAGTAGGTTTTCAAAGTCATTCTGTAGGCTTCGCAGGTGCTGCACACAGGCAACTGGTTATCAACAGTGTCAGTGTGTTTGTGTGTGCACCAGATCTGAAAAAGTCTTGGCTATGCGGCTATCCAGCCTTGGCAGAAGTAAGTATCAACAAAATTTGATTGTTTGGCTGCACCTCCCCTTCGTCAGCGCACAAGAAGATCCCGTTTCTTTTGCTACTCCCTAAACTTCCAAAGTCCGAGAAAATCTGAGTCTTTGAGCAAAGACTTAAACTGGGAATTAAAGAAAGACTTAAAAGAGTCGCTGTAACCTATATATGTCATGTTAAAGCGATCTGAGCAGCATCAAATAAAGCTTCAACCCCTGTTTTCGCATGTGCATGTACACAGTCTCGAATCGTCAAGCCGTTTTCCAATCCTTTCACCGGGCACGAAGCCAATCTGTTCATCCTTTGTGTGGACTTTTTTCGTGGACAGTGCTGTGTAAAACATGTTTCAAGTGGATTCTCAGGGGTTGTGGTGTCCACGACCTTTTTAAGTCTTTCCACGACTTTTTAAAGTCGTTCCATGCCTTTTTCAAGTCGTTCCACGGTTTGTCCATGGTCAGTCTACTGTTCATTTGGTGCGAATGGCAAGAAGATCCGCACGCGTCACGGATACAAACATGCGATCAGTAAAATCCAGTATGTGCAGTATCAATCAAAAAACACATTTGACAATAAATGTGTTGAACTTATTTAACCGTGATTATGTTTCATGCACTGTTGATTCCTGGCTTTCAGACCCCACCATCCAAAGGGATCTTGTCGCGGTATGTTTGTATAAACAGTACACTTCTAAGTCGAGGCTGCAAATCTAAGTCGAACTTAAAAAATCCAGGTCTTGGACGCATAGGGTACTAGTATAATATTCTACATTATAACTAATACTGTACGGTAGGTCAGGAACCTATTGGGGATGGGTCATGGTCGCTCCCCCCTTCACAGGCCGACCCACACCATAGGTTTAGTATGTTGATCCACCACTTCCCAGGTCGGAGGAGCACTGGAAACAGGGACTTCAAGCCGACATCATCAGCTCCCGGCATGCATCGGACCGAATCGCTGCCGACCCGAGCGCTCCGTGGGCGGGTGTGGAGTCGTGAACCTCCACGTTGCGTCGTAGACTCTCGATTCATGAGACTCCTTCATTTGGCTTGCAAGACCTCTTACTGTAATATACTGTAATGAATCATTACCAATAGAAGAGGACTCATATTATATATATATTCGATAAATCATATTACGTTAATAATTGAGTGTGCATTAACAATGGAATTATTAGATGAAGCGAACATTGGTGCCATGTGAGAAGCTTTCACGTCGGGCTGGTGTGCGCACGCCAGCGACTCTGAGGAGCAGGCCACCAAGTGGGAACGTGTTTGGGGGAAGACTGATATCCTGTACCAATAATATCCACCTTCATGCCAGTGAGTCTCAATATAATATATATTATGGAGATCCATTTTCCACAAGCTTACTGACGCCTCAACCTTGGCAAGTATTGTTTGTGGTTTTGTGCCTTTGTTTGATATGCTTGTGGTGCCTTGGGGAAACTTGAAATCGCCGCGCATACTGCAAGCGTATCTGTGATTGAACAACTACAGAAAGTGAGCCTTGTCGCAGCATCGAAGAAGACCCCCTTCCCTAGCAGATCTGTATGAAAGAAGAAAGGAAGCGGCACATTGTTCCATGCTTATGAAGTGCAAGAGCTTGTTTGGACGCAACACGTCATCCAAGAATCTACCATGAATGATCAGGAAAACCATGGAAAGCCCAGTTTTTCTATGAAAACCTCTTGTTGTTTTCAACTCGTGGACTAACTTTCTATTTGCGGTGCCATGGGCTAGCAAGCCAAGCAAGCAAGCTTCCCTACCTCCAGCTGCCCATGCTTGGTCCCATGGACACTGAGAGCACCACACGCGATTCCATGCGTGAAGCGCTCCCGGAGACGCAAAGCCTCCATCGCTTCTTCGGTGGGCACCAATCCTCACAGAGTGAGATCCAACTCCAGCAGCGTGGACCGACCTCCTCCGGCACGACGACCATGCGCAGGTCGGAGGAAGCGAGCCTTCCGTTGCACACGCGAGTCAGTGAGGAGTCGGAGTTGCGCTGGTACGAGGTGGCCAGCGCAGGTGATGGGGGCATCTCGACTGCCTCGCTGACGCCCAGCTGTTTTAGTTTGGTGTTGGTGTGTGCTCTCCGAGGGGTGAGCCTTTGGATGCCGATGATGCTGATTACTCCAATTTGCGTGTTGCAGTTTTCGGTGTCCTGGCTTAGACTTATGAGGTTGGTGAGGTTGGTGAGGTGATGTGAAGTTGGTGCTTCTCCTGGCCAATTCCATTATATCAATATAATTATTAAGTCTTAATATGCATATGCCGCATATGCACCCAGTTGTTTCAGGTCTTGTACATCATTTGCTTCGCCTCTCCCCAATATCTTTTCGCCTCGGGTGAGTGGCTCCTACCCAACTCGGCCTCGAACTCCTTGAGCGTGATGAAATCCTTCGCTACAGTGCTGATGTTGGGCCAGATCGCCGAGGAGTTCCATGAGATCTCCGAGTCCATCAAGGCTCTTGAGCGAACGATGGTATGATATTATTAGATTGAATATTGTATGGATTAGTCTTAAGTCTGGTTATTCATGGTTCTTCCATGTTCTTCTTATAACTGGGTGGGCGTCCCTTACTTACAATTTGCGTTCTTATTGTGATGCTTTTTCTGCAGCATTGATCCCAAAAAAACCAAGGTCTTGCGCCAGAGCCGTTTGAGTTTCACGAGTCGGCGAAGGCTTTGTTGTTGTTGGCTTTGCATCTCCCTCCAGTATCTTTTGGCCTTGATGGTCATGGTGACCTCGGGACAAGTGATCCTGGGACGACAAAATCCCATCGAGCCCTTATGGATGACCTACTATGTCTTCATGACCTTGAGCTTTGACAATATGTTGGTGAAGTTCATCATGTACGTCCGAACCATGGAGCGGCACACCATTTGGAAGGTGGAGGTCTCACAACCTGAGACACCTACCTCTAAGAAGCGCACCAAGCGCTTGGATGTCGCACAACAGGTGGCGGTGCTTTGGGTGCCCTTGCTCTTGGCCGCCTCAGTGAGCATTTTCTGTAGGCTCTTCAACGTGCTGCCCATCACACTCCTTCGCTATGGCCCTGTGGCGAATGAGCAGCAGGTGGTCATGTTCTCCTCCTTGTCTCTTCCTGCAGGCTGCTGCCCCTCCGTGGCCCAAATCAACACCAGCCGTGCGGACACGGTGAGTGTGAGTGTCCCCTGTTTGTCTCCAGAGGCGCCGGAAGACTGGCCTCATCGGCCCTTGGTGTATTGGGTGGCTTCCGCCAGCCACAAGGCGATGCCCACCAGCCTTCAGGTGCGCGAGGGGCGTACGGGTGATGGCTCCCGGGCCTTGCTCGCAGGACATGTGGAAGCGAAGCCCTTGGAGTTGTGGTCCTGGATGAGTGATCATGGTTATGAGGCCACGGACATCGACGCCGTGCTCCGGAAGCTCAACGATGAGACCTTGGGCATCGGCCTGTACCGGCGCACCTTCGCCTATGTGGCGGAGATCCAAGTGCATCCCTTCCCCTGGTTCGAGGAGGTGGCGATTTACGCCATCGCCCGGAACGATGTCACAGGCGCCTTGAGCCCAAAGGCTGCAGTGTCCAATGTTATCCATGGCAAGAGGTGCCCACCACACTGTGAGATTTGTGATCGACAAGGCCAATGTCGGCATTGCCAGGAGGGCTTTCAGAAAGACGCGGACTCCACCTGCCGCCCCTGTCCGGAAGGATGCTTGCGATGTCCACAGGGCATCTCACAGTGTACCAAGTGTAAGACAAATTTTGGTCTTGCACCGTATGCCTCCAAGAAGATTTGCTTGCCATGCGGCTCCAAAAACTGCCAGAGCTGCGATGGACCAGCGCTGGGGGCAATACCGCCAAGTGTGTTGCCATGCAAAACGTGCAACCCCTTCTATGGCCTTGACCTTGATGGCCTTTGCCAACGCTGCGAGGATGAAAACTGCCTCCACTGTGAGGGAGGTTCAGGCTGCACCGCCTGTGCAGGTGGCTTTGTTCTGGACACCACCGGCGGGAATGTCACTTGCGCTTTGTGCGGACCAGGCTGCCTCTCTTGCACTGACAAGGAGGCGTGCGTGAAGTGTCAGGATGGCTTCAGGCTCGAGCCAAGCGGCAAATGCAAGGCCTGTGCACCCAATTGCCGCGATTGTGGGGATTCGCCAGATTGCAAGCCCGGTGGTTGCTTTGAAGGCTTTGGATATGTGCGGAGGAACTGGTTCAGCAAGCCAGAATGTGAAGCGTGCCGTGTGCAGCATTGCACAGCCTGTGATCATAATCCACACATTTGTACCGAGTGTAGCGAGGACTTTGGCGTGACCACCAGCGGGGGTTGCTTTCGTTGTGGCCTCGGATGTACCAGTTGCAGACTCGCTGGCAGCTGCCTACGATGCAGCGACGGCTTCGTCTTGCGCGAGCACCAGTGCAAAGCGTGTGCAGATCGCTGCCGCAAATGCACCGTCTCCGGCCCGGCACACTGCGATCAAGATGGATGCCACAGTGGATGGACAGCGGTTCAAGCCACATGGGAGGAGGCACAGAGCTTCGTGTGTCGACCTTGCTCAGATCCGGACTGCCCCAAGTGCGACATCAAGGGTCCAGGGAACTGCGATGAGGTGCCTGACTGAGGGAAGGGTGCACCCCACCGGAGAAAAGGCGTGTTGAGAACAAACGTGATGAAGAACTTGCCAGCAGTTTTTATAGTTGGTCAGCCTTTATAGGATTCACTTATTCACATGAGCGTTTGAGTATGTTTGAGTGGGACGTTGGAATGGTCGGGGTTTCGTTGGAACAGAACTTCTTCCAGCCACGACTTCCCCACCCCAGAACGGTACGGACGGTACGGCGGGAGTCTCGCTGAGTGCAAACCTGAAGGTTTCAACTCCATGCTGAAGAGCAGGCCTCATTGGCCAAGGGCCCTGGAGCTCTGTAACTTGGCATTTGGACTGAAGAAAAAGGCCGGTGTTTTCTATGGCGTTTGTTCCAAACAGGCGTTTGGCAGCTGGCGTTGTTCTTTACCTGAGTTTGGGCCATTGGGTTGGCAACTTCGACTCCATCGACTGAGTCTGACTCCATCGACCTTTTTCTGGCTCGGAAGGTGTTGGGCGATTCTCGTCAGGATGCTGCCAAACATGGCCCTGATCATAGGTGGTGTGTGTGTGCCTTTCCAACCTTCTTTACTCTCAGAGTTTGGAGAGTGTGTATAAGGATGTTGGAAGAGCATTGGCGTCCGTTTTTGTGAGTTTTTTTCGAGGGTATTCTTCCAACCTAGGGATCCATAGGATCCATAGCACAGCGGGCAATGCATATTGAGCCCTGTGGCCTGTTGCTGTCTTGTTTTTGTTTTGTTTTTTTCCCTGCATGCAATCGAATAGTTCAGCCTGATTCAGACTAGAGGGCATGGAAGAAACCCATGATACCACTTGAGACAAGAAACGTGAAGAAACAACTGCATCCTATCCACTTTGACGCAGGGTTGAGCGACTCAGTCTCCTCATGGTCGATGTACTTGGTGGGTCCTGGGTTGAGTCTCCACCCCTTCTTTTGCTGAGGCAACATTTTGCAGCTCGAGGGCCTGCAAGCAACCACAACAACCTACAACACCTTCATCAGCTCTTGTGATGAAGGCCGCCATTTGCACGAGAGTTTTTGACCATAATACTGCGGAATGACATTGCATATCATAATGTGTCATGTGAAGTTGACTACTGGCCTCATGTCCAGAATGAGGTGCGTTTTCGTGTGGGCTTTTTGTTGCATGTTCACCTTCGGAACCTCAACAGGAAAAGGACAACTTTACCATCATCGAAGAACACACACCCCCTAATGTGCTCACCAATCGACATAGATTTGCATGACCTACACTGACCTACACGCATGGGTCACCAGCGGTTTCCGCCCACCGCAGATGGGACCTGGCAGAATGCCTTGCATGGAGTGAGGGGCACAGGGGTGGAGTGCGACATCATCAGCTGCAGCTTGGTGGGTTTGGAGATGCTTGGAGCTTGTTTGCTGAAGGATAGAGAAGTCGTGTTGGTGACATCGCAGGCGACCGGAGGATACCGGAGGTAAAAAGGATAATCTGGAAAACATCTTGGTATTTGCTGATTTGTTTTGGAAGGAAAGGCGAGAATTAAGAAGTCCATGATTTAACTTACGTCCATGGTGGCAGAATTCAATCCTTGGGCTCAGACGACTGTGCCTTTTGATACATTTGGAGGAGCGCAAAGTTGTATGAGAGCTGGCCAAAGTTGATGAGAACCGTCAATAGAGGGGATACATGGTGAAACTCCAGCTGTGCTCGGGAGTGACATGGGTATGCTGGCGGGTTTTGCCGGCGGGTTTGGCAAGTGGTAGGAAATGTGATGCATACAGAAATTTCGGTCAGATCCTTGCACGTCCAATCAGAAAGGAAGGAAGATTGGAGCAAATCAAGTCATGACACGTGACACTGGATGATGTTGACCAAGGATGATCAAGGTAGTGTTCCAATCCTTGATTTCCACCATCAATCAGCTGGACCTACCGTCACCTGGCTTTGTAGCCTTGAAGCCCGGCTGAGCCCAGTACAAAGCCCCACATGTTTTGGACAGTTCTTGAAAGATCTCCAATTCAACTGGTTGTTTCTTTCAATCTCCTTATATATTTGAAACCACGAGGCTTCGGATTCGCAAGTTCGGGTCGACGTCTACGGGCCTCCAGATCGAATATCTATGGTACGTTTGCCCTTATATAACTCCTTGTGGCCGAGGCAACTCATTGTTGAAGAGCTGTCGCTTGACGGGTTGCTCCTGGACATTGACATTGCAGCTCGGAGTGCTGGGCCACTGGGCCAGGGCATATTTCATCCAAATACATCGGTACAATCGTCTCAGGGATGACACAGATATATACAATTATATACATATTGTAGTTTTATCATGACCACACCAATATCGAATGACCCATACAGATAGAACCTGTGCGCGTCACATTCGCAGAAATCTTTCACAATGTGAAGGCTTTGTGAAATCCGCTCAATGCATGAGACGCGTCACAACCTGTGGCTCGGAGCCCCACAGTTTTGTGTTTGACACTGCGGGCCACCTGCGGACTTACACCCTTTCTTGGTCAAGGATGTATAATATAATAACTATAGTATAAACTATATTTAATAGGCGGCCAGATTGAGGTCTTTTTTGTGGCTGAAACTCATGATGCCATTCTTGAAGACTGGCAATACTTAGGATGAATAACTGGTGAAGTGAAGGTAAACATTAAGGGCGAACAACGAGAGCAACATCAGGGGACAGAGCAAAGTGTGGATTTCTTGGTGGAAAACAACAACATTAGGAAACTTGTCCACAAGAGTCCACAAGGTATTTTTTATCGGCGTTTAGTATTGCAGAGAAAGTTTGACGAATTAATAGTTTAATAATAGGGGTTCCTCAATCCTTGGATTACATTATTTTCGATGAATTATGACGATTATTTGTTTATATGTTTTGTGTTTTGAACTGGGGAGGTGTGGTCCTTTTTTGTAGCGGCATTTGTTGTAGCTCGCCCAGCGCCTTCCCGCCCGATGGCTGAGGTCCTGGTTGGATCTCCCCGGACTTGCTCCCGAGCTGCACTGGTCACTGCGTGGGAGCAGGATGTTGTGGGAGCATTTCCTGTGACATAGTGCTTGGCACCTTCTGGCAGCTCCACGTGCTCCTTGAGGATTCAAACCAAGCTTCGAAGCGGGGAAATGATTCATCACAGACCCTTAGGTGAGGCATGGTGAGGCATGTCACATCAGTTGTTGCTGCAGGTCATGACCCCACCTGGTACGGATGTGTCACGTGATGTCGTGATGGCTACAGGTACCCCAAAACACAATGAAACATGTAACATATTGTATAGTAGTAGTGTTTTCCTCCACCAGTTCCCAGCATTTGAGATGGTGACTTGAGTTCAGATGTGGCACCAGGCTAACTTCACCGAACTTGAGAAGATGCTGATCTTGACCGAACTTCGCAGTAGCGGAGGTGGTTTTGGGAGACACTGCACTGAGGCCACTGACCACTTCACCCGCACCGGTGCCATTGCTGTGGGCGGTGATGGCACATGGCGCCGTGCCATGAGGCTGATGGCCACTGGGAAGCCTGGGAAGCTATTGGAAATGGTTCAAATGTGGACTTCTATGGACAGAGGGTTTCTTTCGGGCTTGAGACACAGGCCCCTTCAGGTGTGCCAGTCTTCGGTCATCTCCTCAAAAAGTGGTAGATATGGTAATGTGCGGGAAGCCTCAGGTTCAAAACAAGATTAGGATCTGAAGGTCTAGAAGCCAGGAGTTGCTATTTTGTGTGTGTGTGTGTCAAGAGTTTGCTATCTCGCCCTTTTTGTGTGTGGGCTAGGGCTAGGGCTGTGGAGGGGGGTCGAAGTCTATATATATATAACAATGCCATCGTGTTTTGATCCTGAGATGCAACATTCCGCTGGCAGATTGACAAGAACCCTTAAAAACACAGGTTAGAATCAGAAGACCATCATCCAGGAATTCATGTTCAGAGTCCATATTAGTTTGCAATGGGGAAGCTGTTCAAGCCCTTGGTGAACGGGGGAGAAGCTTCTCAATCCTACCTAGGGCGGCACCACTGTGGCCTACAATGCCGCCATTGCAGTTGCTTGGCAGGTGGATCCAGCCTTGTTCAGGGGATGGGTACTTGTTTGGGAGGGCAGTGCGAGTGTTCCCACCACTTGGATTTTTGACCTGAGAACGCAAGATATCGGTCTAAATAGAGTCTCTCTCTATATGTATATTTATTTATTTGTTTATATAATTGTGCTTGTTGTGGCTTGCGGGTGGAGGGGCTTGAGCTTTGGATGCAAAGGTAACCCGTGCTTTGAGCTTCCAAGGATCAAGCACAGTTTGTTTGACTTTTGGAGTTGGCAAACATAGCACGCATGCGCATCCATTTGGACTGTTCATCAATTCCGCCTGTTTACAACAGCATGTGGGCCATGCAAGACGGCAAGCATGAAGTACACGGTGTGATTGAATGCCCTAGAGGGTTCAGTACTTCCTGACGATGTTTTTTGAGGCAAAAGTACTTCCAGCGGGTAACTTCTCTCAGAATCAGATGGTCGACCCTTGGAGTGGCTCAGGAGCCTTGGTGGTGCGCCTTGACGGTCCTGGAGCTCACAAGGGTCAATCGCTTGAGTCCGGATGCCATCACCTACAGCGCCACCATGAGTGTCCTTGGTCAGGCAGGCAAGTCGTGGAGTCCAGCTCGCGCGAGTAATGATTTCTTGGTCCCAGTCAATCTCTGAAAACTTCTTTTCTTGATTCACACAATATTGAGATTCAGAGCTGCAGACGCACGCTTTTCTCAGGCTGGCTGAGCTGTTTTGCATTTCATTTCTGGCGCTGAAAGGGTGAAAGGGTGACAGGCACACTGAACATGCAAGCACGTTCTGGGCAAGTGGCTCCCCATGTTGACCCTTTTGTAATATGTTGTAGCTTAAGAAGCCCAGGCCCAGAGTCAGACTCAGACTGAAGGACTTTGAGAAGCCCTCCCTAGGTCGGTCGAAGATCGTTGAATTGCTATTGCTATTTTGCTCTAAGGAATGGACAACACGGGGCGCCATGCCAGAGCATGTCAATGCACATTGTAGATGTCACAAGGATTTTGGTCTTGGCATGTGTCACGGACAATGCTTTGTGGAATTGGCAGGTTCATTGGTTGGAAGTGGTGCATCTTCTAAAGGAGACCAGCAGCCAGCACTTGTTTCTCCTGTCTATTTTTGTGCTGTTGGATGCTTTAGATGCAAAGTGGAACAGGCCAATTCATTGAGGATAATTTGACATATTCCACTGCATTTCGATATGTGGGTCTTCTTTGCGAGTTGTTAAGAGCTACTGTATTAGTTAGTCCTGACCCACATCGAAGGAGTTTGCCAATGTTACCCGCTCATTCCAATCCGAAAGGGTGGTTGTTGAAAATCAAGGTGCACCGTTCTATTTTGCACTTTTGGTGTCCGACTCTGAGACATGGGCCAGAGCCTCTTTGTCGCAGGTGTTTGCCCTTGGTTTAGAGCAGATTTGGTGGGAACAGGAAAGCACAGCGGGAAAGAAAGGCCCAATCAATCTGCGAGCACAGCAAATTCTCATGGATTCTCCACAGTGAGACATGTTTTCACTTGTAAGATCTTGTGTAGGTCCTCTTGATCACCTGAGTCTTGGTGGGATGATACGGGGCATCTTCACCTACCCTCACACCTCGGTGGCAGAGGAGATGCAGACGGTGTCGCTCGAAGCCGACGTGATCTCCTTCAATGCAAGCATTAGCGCCTGTGGTCGCAACAGCCAATGGCGACGGGCCATGTACCTTGGACGTGATTCCTGTGGCTATTTGTTAGAAGAATGCCTATGGCGCTGATTTCAGCACCATGCCAGAATTCTTGGTTTCGACTTTATTGTCCAGTCAACACCGCAGCTTTTAGACGTCGACGTCTCTTCGCACCCAGTCTCCAGGGCTCTTTTCATTTGCGCAGGTATCCAAGAACACAAGAAGAGGACATAGACAGCATAGACATAGACGTTTGCAAACATCATTTGATTGCTTACTGGGTGCGAGACTCGTCGAAATGTGGCGAAGAATGTGAGCAACGTGCCCAATGCAACGCGCCAATCTGAAGATACTTAATCAATCCCAGTTCAGTGGAATTGTGGACCAAACACTCCCACATCCTCTGATGTGCTCAGAAGATTTTGCTGTAAGAGTTATAGTTATGTATTCCCCCTCCCTAACTCGAACCCCCCCTTCGCTAATGAAAACAGACATGAGGGGCACCCCCTTATATAATGTAAAGCCGCACTCAAGGAATTTCCAGGAGTTTAAAAGGCGTGAAATTGAGATATACCATGATATACCGATTAACAACAAACGATGGCTCCAAAAAAACATGAGTTTTGAGCAGCACGGGGTATGCCCGTATGCCCCCGCTGCAAGGGCCACGATGTGCCACGGGTCCCGAACTGCTGAAACAAACCGCAAAGTCACTCGCCTCGGAAAGTGTCGGTCGCAAACGCCCGAGCTATTGAATTCGTCGCAAAAATGTTAAACAATCAAACCCAAGGAGCTTGTTGTTGCGACAATTGCAAGACCTTCATGTGTCATGTGTTCATTTTTGTCCGCCTGTAACATGTTCAAAGAAACAACATAACACATAATTAAGGTTTCGATAGGGCACGACACGACCAAACCGAAGCCAAAAAGCATGTTTTTAGTATTCAAGGAATTTAGGAGGGGTTTGCAGACACCCTAGCATACCCAAGATCTATGGGGATCAATAGTTGGGAGCCACGGGCAGGCTTAACGGTTTTATAGGCTGACGTCTTAACACACACTTATGGATATGCATACATAACCAGAACTGCAAAGAATTTTGGGTGCGAAAAGGACATGTTTTTATTTTATCATAGGCTTGTGCTTTTAAAGCTAAGGATGGGTGTGTGTTTTATGCCAGAATATTTTAACACCATACTTGCCCGTGGCAATACAGAGACGCTATGGGCCCTTGCGTCCATCACCGCTCACCGCTCTGAGGCACCTGGTGCACGCTGCGCGACACGGCGGTGGGGATAGCACAGTGGTGACCTGCAATGCGGCCATGAGCGCATGTGAGGTCAGCGGCTTTTGGCAGCGCCTTGGACCAGCGAGACTAAGGTTGTAACAGTTGTTGAATGTTTGGGAGGCGAGGATGCTTCACCCAACATCATCTAACGCTGCTGGGTGTTGTGCGCCTTTTTTTTAAGCTGAGCACTTCGAACACCTCAGAGTGCTTACGCATGTTTACGTCGAAAAGAAATGAGAAGAGGGTTGCAAGAGGAGTTCAACCTATCACTTTGGGTTCTATATGGTTCAATACTACATACGTATACATACGGGATTTTGTTTGCGTGCCTCCAGGAGGAAGATGGCTTCAGGATGCTTCAGGTCTTTTATATAAATTCTTCGTTCATAGGTTGTATACCTATCTCATCCTTTCTCCATTGACTGATCAGGAGAGGGGTTCCTGGGGTTCCTGAAAGCCCGATCCCTAGGAGTGCAAGTCGCCAAGTATTCCGATCTCTCTAGGAGTTTGTTGACTTTCTAATTGAGCGTTTTCAGAGCGCGTTTGCGTGAGGAATGCCTTGCAGCTTTTCCAAGACCTACAGGAAGATGTTGCTCGTCTTGGGCCGACACGGGTGAACAACTCGGAAAACATCAGTGGGGTCGTAAATGCGACCCCACTGCTCGTAGTCAGGTCGGATGATTGCAGCTTTGTGATTCCAACAGCCATGGGGACCGAGGACCAGCCTGACATCATCAGCTACTGTGCCTTGATCAGTGCCTCGATTTGCTTCAAGACTGCCAGATCGGGGAAGTGTGACATGGTTTTGGGGCATTTTCCGCCACGATGTGTGCCTTTGACCCACAGGTGGGTTCAGACACTTATCATCAGAACTTATCATCTATCATTTATCCATGTGGCATAGATGACACGTGTTTGACCCATGGAGTGTTTCTGGTGTACATCTCTGGAGGCCTGACTGGGGTGTCGTGGAAGCCGTGTTACCAAGGGGTGTGCACGTTGAAACTATATAACAGTACTGTCTTTAACCCAACCATTCAGGCCTCACATGAACCCTCAGTACGCCGAAATGCGCTACAGGTATCCTCCCTCCAACCAAGGTGCAAGGTAGAGCAGCACCCTCCAGACGGTTTTGCATTGCAAACTGACTGGGTCTAATGTTCCACAAATGGCTTTGGGATGTATACCTTCCGCAGTCTAGGGTTTAAGTAGTATTGGAGTTTCCATGTCAGATCTAATCCACTGCTCTTGCCAAATCCGCGGAGGGTGATACGGGCTGGCATACATAATCATATGTCAGCCTTACCTTGGCCCAGGCAGCTGTGAGAAAGGACACCAGTGGCAAGCCGCTTGCCACTTCCTGCACCTCAGCCGCAAAGTCTTGCCGGGACTCCAGAAGCATCAAGGATTTATCAATTTATCGTCATGCCTTGACCTTCGTGGCACTGCCCATATGCGCATTTCCGCTGTGAATTCCAATCCTCTGGAGACCACAGGCAGCAGCTTGAAGCACCCAGCGAAGTTGCCTTCAGTGCAGCCATCAGTGCCACAGAGAAACTCGACCGGCCGATGGCGACGTCGGAGAACGTTGGAGAACCTCCAAGACAATTGGAGATGATCACCAGAGTCCATGGGCCCAGATGGTGGTTTTGCCAGAAGGCCATGCTTGGTGTTGTTTCCTCATGTTCCTTCAATCGACTGATGTATTGGGCATCCCGATTCGGCCACGGCCACAACTGCAAACAGTCCACATTAGTCTGTTGCATTTTTCTGTTGCCAGAAAAAGGACTGACTGCCGCTATATCTTGCTGCGGAAAAGCTGTTTGGAACGCGAGACTTGTAATGGGCGACTGTGCTCGCGTGTGAACTCCATTTAGGAGGGGAAGATCCCGAGCATACCACCCAGTGACCTTGGATTTGTCAGGTGTTACTGGATTGGCTGCCCGTAAGGACTGCAGTGTAATTATATATAATTTGCTGTATAGTTTGTGAGAATTGGTTCGGAGAGGTAGCACCTGGCATGAGACATGTTCTAGAGTTCTAGAGCGCGACACTTCTGGTGAGTCGCCCAGCGTGTCATGCCTTTGCAAGCTCAGGAAGGCCTTGGAGTGGCCCATGGCGCTGCATTTGTTGAATCAGATGAGGCATAGCAGGCCATGTTCGTTGGGTTGGCTGACGATAAGTTTCGGAGACTCATCTCGCGCAAAGAGTGGGACACGCTGAATGTGCTTGAGGCAATCCTCATCAGACCAGCAGAGATCCCAGGTTGAAGAACATGAAAACAGGTGAATCCCTCAATAGAGACTTCGAGCATAGCAACTGCACCAGTAATTAGAAGTAAGCAGAACCACCACCATGACCACCACAACAACAAGGCATCCAGGAAACAACATATATAATGTTCATACAAGACATGGCACCTATCAACCGATCAAGCATGCAGTGCAGGTGTTGATTGATTCCATATATCTTTGATAGGCAAACCCCGATCGACCCCTCATACAAAATCATACAAACTTCCTAACAAAAACCATTTGATTCCCATCTGTGACATCCTCCGACCGCCTTCAGGCAGGGTAGCCTTGTGGCCACCAACGCGGCCATCAGCGCATGCGAGAAGTGTGGCCGCTGGGAACACGCCCTGGCGCTGCTGAAAGATTTGGATCTTTAGCTGTGATGGCCGTGCAACGTGTCGACCGTGTCGATCCCGCTCCAGACCGAAAGGCAACAATTTGAGATTATTCTTTGCGCGTTTCAATCCAAAATGCTCAGGTCTGGAGGTCATGTTGTGTAGGGACTTGTGGACCACTGTGTGAACTTTACGAAAGCCATCCGATAGGCTAGGCTGAAACTAGTTCTGCGAACAAAGTTCATTGTTAAAAAGGGGGTGTGGGGAGGGGTTGTGGGGGGCAGACGAGGAAAAGTGCATGTAAACCATGTTAGCCTGGTTGTGGAGGTGATTCTTGGGACTTGGTGGTGATGCAAAAGATGCAAGGCCATGGAGGTATTACATCATTAGCATCATAACTACCCGAGAATGGTAAACATGGCTAGTCCAAATGCAGTCTATTGACATGTGAACATGGCTGAAAGAACTATGTGACTATGTATTTACTTATAACTTATAAATATACAGCCATTCATGGAACATGCCTCGCACCAGTCACTTGCTGAGGCGAGTCCTATGATTTCCCCAGACTGCTCCTTTCAGTTTCAACACCTTGCTTTAACATTTCAACATGGCAGAAATATTGAGACGCCGAGAATAATAATGAGCCAATGACAAGAGCCAAATGCCGGCAGCCGTGGGGACAGCAGTCCAAGTAGGAAATCTGAAAGGAAGACCATTGTTTACAAGGAAGAGTGGCAGCAGCTTGCTGAACATGGCTGGCACATACATACATACATGCATACATACATACATACATACATACGCCTTCAAGAAGAATGCGCACAGCTGACTGCACCAACCCCAGAACCAGATCTCCCTCCAGGCAAAGCGGTTGGGAAAAAAAAACCACCAGAGCCAGCCGGATTACCACGCTGTTGAAGACAGCATCCTATCACACCCGATGAACACAGGTTCCAGGAGACAACTGGGTACCTCAAGTGCAGCAAGTGCAATCAGGCCATCCACAAAAGAGCGAATGAGGAACTGTTCAACCAGTTCTTGAACAGCACCTGCATCGATGCCCCATACACCCAGGAGCATCAGGCACACAGCACCCACACCTTATGGCAGGTTGGAAAATCCATCCAATGCAAAGGTTGTGGGATACAAAGCCATCTTGATGAGAAGGAACGACTCATCATCACCAAAGGCTTCCAGAAGGAATGCAAAGGCCACAAACCGAACTCACCCACCCTGGCAAACTTCTTCAGCCAGGCAAGTCAGAACACCCCAACCGCTGTGACAACAGCGGAGGCACCCACCGCACCAGCAGCGGACCACCAGGAGGCCATTGCAAAGCTCAATGCTGGCCATGCACTCAGTTCAGGCACTCAGCCTCAAGACACACAGACTGGGCAACCCAGTGCTCTGGCAGCCACCCGCCCAGAGGCACACGCCCCTGCCGCTGAAAGGGCCATGAAACCCAGCCAGCTCCATCCACGCCGCCACAAGACCCGGCAAGGCCAGAGGGTCTTTCACCACCGCCACCAAAAAAGCTCCGCTTCTCCACCTCGGAGAAACACAGCCCTCCTGATGCTCAGCCGGCCATGACACCAAGCCATGCAGAGCAAGGAGAAGAAGAACACAGCGAAGGAGATCCAGAAGTCGAAGTCGACTTTTTCTGGGACTTCATCTGCTGGAGCCGCGGCTGAGGGACGACGGCCAAAGGGCCACAAACCGAGCAAGCTAAACCTTCAGAAGAAAAAAAACATACATCAGGCAACCTCCGGTTCGTTTCGGTTCGTTGAAACTGGAATGATGGGCGGTTCGGTTCGCAAATACAAACGGTTCGTTTCGGTTTTCGTGAGAATCGGTTCGGTTCGGTTCGGTTCCTTCTTTTTAATATAAATTAAAGCAAAGGGTTTGGCAGATCACAGCACAGCCTCCGGAGCTTCCATAAACTGAGACCCATGGGGTTCCTTTTGGGTGAATTCAAAAACGACCTGAACGTGATTTTCGGTCTCTGAAAATCGTTTTTGGCATAGTTTGGACGATTGCCACTTCGAAATCATGTTTGGACTGGTCGAAACCGTTTGCAACCGCGCGACGCGGCCAATCTGATTTTTGGTCATGCCAATTTAAAATTTGGGGTGACGGGCAGATTGGAGGCAAAATGAAACCATGACCCCGGTTCCCAAAAAGCTGATACGATTGAATGCACCATGCTTCGCCCATCATACAGATTTCTGAATGCAGACTGTAAAAGCTGAAAGGTACATTGGGACCCCAAAAACGATTTCTAGACAACAAAATTCATTTTTGGTAGACCGCTGAATGAGTCATAGTAAATACATGATTGAAAATGATTTTCACATGGCAAAAATCATTTTTATATAGACAGATTTTATTGCACGTTGCCTGAGTAAAGCAATGAATTGACATTCCGATCATCGATTCCTCAAAATCTAGATACTGTCAGAAAGAAACCTTCCTGTCGTCATGGTTTCAAGATGTGAAATCCTCGCTTGCAAAGCTTGGTTGTGACACCTGACGAGAAACGCTGCGCTTGAAAAGGTGGCCTGTGAATGTTTGCAAACACAGAAGCTAAACACACACAATAATCGAAGCAGAATGTTCCAACCAAATATAGATTATATAGATAGCATTGCGGTTCGTAACGGTTCCTTGAGGCAAAAATAAACGGTTCGGTTCGGTTTGACAGAAACTGCTTTTCAGTCCGGTTCGATTCGTGTCGGTTCCATTGAAACTGGTACCTTTCCGGTTCGGTTCGCGGTTCGTTTCCTAGGGCTTACTGATACATACATACATACATACATCATAAATCTATACAATCATAGAACATGCCTCGTGCCCGTCACTTGCGGAGACTACTGTGATTCCCCAAGACCACTGCCACTGCTTTCAGTTTCAATACCTTGTTTTGACATTTCAACATGGAAGACAAAGGTATAATAACATGCCTGGTAGTAGTCATTTGATCCGACTGTGTTTGGGTCGGATCACCTAAGATAGATTTTTGCACCCACTCCAACCTGCATCATCTACTGGAGTGTCTTCTCTACTTAGTGCGGTTCATACGTTCCACCACCTACCCGGGCCCGCCCCGGTAAGACCACAAAAAATAGACCGGGGTGGCAGACGGACCACGGAAGTTCCTGCATTGTTCCTGCATTCTGATGTTGTGGCCGCTCGTCGCCCCGGCAACCCGTATTTTTTGGGGCTACTACCGGGGTGGGGATCGTGGCCGATGGCAAAAGACAGCGGCCCAAATACTAGCGCAGAGAAATGCACCTTTCACCCCCTATCAGGTCTTGCTCGGGGAGGCTGGCTGACCTTGCCACTGATGGGGATCGGCCAGCATCTATTACCGAAGAAAACCGGTTCCATGTGTATAGTGCGGAGTGCCTTATAAGCGTCTCAACCTTTCCTTACCAACGCGTCTCCGTCACCTGCATGTTCTTCTGGCTTTCGTTTCCCCTCATCAGGTCTGATATGCTGCTTTGGAAAGAAAAAATAGCTTCACTCCAAAGGGAGGGGATCGGAAAACACCTGAAGCGAGGAAATTTGGGTGAAGACTTGTCCTCTTGACTGGCCTTATTGTCTCGCAGCCGAAGGACGGATCAAGCTGCCCCTCGGGTAACGCAGCATCATTTCAATTTCCAAGATCTTGGGGTTTGACCTGGGGACAATGCCACCACATCCCACCACCTGAGAGCCTCCAGAACAATCCCGAACCGCTGCTTAAGGAGGACCAGCAGCTGCTGGCAGATGTCATCAGCTACTCAACAGCTGTGAGCGCGATGGCCAAGGGTACCCAGTGCCATGGTCAGCAGTGCTGGAACGTGACATCTTTGATGAATGAATAGGCAACATAGAAGAAGTGTGATGCGTGCAGATTTGTCCTGGCCTCGCACCTGAGGTGGGTCTTTGCTTTAGGACGGGTTGGCAAGAACACATTGGTTTATTAAGCTCAACCTTTGCCGCCGGCGCCTGCGCTTGTCCGTGCACCCGCACCCACACGCTTTGTCAGGACTCCTGCAGAAGTTGCGGCTCTCGGAGGCAGGGCTGTTTGTCAGTCAAAATAGGTGCCAATCAGGACCATCTGAGGGGTAATGGACTACCCCACACTACCTGCAGGCTTCCATTGGGCACCCCTTGGATGGTCCAGGAAGGAGCAGTTTCTAGTGACGTTTCAGACTTTCCCTTTTGCCGAAGATCGTTGCTTTGCAGCCTATGGTCCAGTGGTCCTATGAAGGTGAAGTGCTGCAACAACGAGGTGGGATGGGTGAGTAGAGTAGTATAGAGAAGTGTAAGGTCTTGATGGGTTTCACTTCCTATGACAGGTCATCCTGGCTCAATGACCCAAACACTTGGCGTGCTTGCAAATCGAGCGTGCATATCATGTGCAGGGTTTCACCTTTGGTTGTCCGCCCACCCAGGAACCGCTCCAAGATACAAACCAATCCGCATCGTTGGGCATCCCAATGACCAAATTATATAGAGGAACCGTTTAGCATACTTGGTGAGGGAAGCACCCAAGGTTTACCATCTCACAAGGCTGAGCAAGGACCTTGCTAGCTGCTAGCTGTGATATATATATATACATATTTTTTTTATTGTATTATATATATATATATATGCATCTATAATATGCCGTGGTCACAGCTACTCCAATCCTACTGTCGATGGAGCAACTCGTGTACCATCAACAAGACAATCTGACTTGTTTGTCCCCACGGCCAGTAGCAGCTCCAGAATCACCGTCACCACCACCACCCCTTTTTTCATGCTTTGAAAGTTCTCCAATATTTTGAGTTGTCCCAAGTTCTGGTCGCTGCAGCAGTACCATGGGGAGAAAACCCTCATGCGGCATTCCTCATGTTCATGTCATAGAATCCATTAAACATGGTTTTGGAGAAGCCGGAATTCTCCCTGTCAAAACATGAGAAAGCACTTCACACACTTCACATGAAAGCGACCTCCGGGGGGAGGACGGGACCCCCGAATGAAAAACCGCTTTCATCCTCGGATCTAGGTCCGCCCCAATGTGATCTCCTACAACGCGGCCTGGGGGCTGAAGGGCCGTGCGAAACAGACCCGTTCGCGGCTGCGTTCCTGGATGGCTTTCCTGGCCCCACCTCGAATCGAAAACAGGAGTGAAGAGCAGACCATAAAGTTCCCAATTGCTTTTCTACATGCTCAATGCTCATGGGCATTTTCATGTAGTGGCACGACGTGCCCACTCTTGCGCATAACAATTTAAGGCACAATAAATCACTTTATGGTCACTATATATAGTTCTTTTTGGGGGGACGATTCCCGGAACATCAACTTGACAACTTGCTGCGCCCCCTTTTTGGCCGTGGTCAATGCATGTGACCTGCGACAGACGTGGTGATGGCCACACCACATTCATGTCAATTCGAGCGGTGTTGCCGCCTAGAGTCTGACGTCAGCTTTGGGTGGTGTTGGCATGAATCTGATGAGCACACAATTATACCTGAAGGAAAGCTTTTCAGTTTCAGCTCGGACATTTATTTACAAAACAACGCATGCCAGCATTTTGAGAAATCTTTCAGGCTCACTCAAGTCGGGCAGCATTGTCTCTCACCACGTCGGCAAAACATGCGTATATATAATTATATATCATATGATGAGGCCCTTGGAAATCTCCCAAACTGGTTCAGTTTAGTTAGTCACATTTGGCTGATATGTTGCAAGGATGTTTTTTGGGTTCCTCCTATTTCAACACATCCACATGGCTAACCACTGAAACCGCTGGCACTGCTGAGGCTCTTTGTGCTTCGGCGGCCGCGTTGCAACAGCAAATTGCTTGGGAGCTATTCTCGGCCCTGCACACTGATGTGGTGGAGCCTGATGACTTTCGACTGCAGTTGGTTTCCAACTTGGTTTCGGTCCTATAGCATGGAAGAACAGATCTAGTGGTGGTCCAGTACTTGCAAGAGAAGTGGTTGGGCATCCGGAGCTGACGGTCTCTTTGGACTCCAGGAGGGTCCTTGCTGCATGCCCCACGCACGATGGTCAGAAACATGCAAAGACATGATGTGCCTGAAGTACATCCAACAGTTGTTTGTGTCATCTGAGATATCAGTGTTTTACTTATTTTTCCAGGAGGCACCCTTCCTTCACCTGGAAAGCCAGCTCTTTTTTTGCCAACGATGCTGCCTCAGAAGTATCAGAAATCAGGTGGTTACCTACTGCGCTGTGGCCAGCCAGTCCAGCTTTCACAAGAGCTTGACGATCATGGAACTGGTGGCGCATGTGAGCTTGCGGGAATTGAACGGCTCCAGGAAAATATCGGCCTGACTGCGTGGGTGAACACGTCGTTTTGGTTCTCCCGCATTTGCTGGACTGCATGACGGTGCACCTATTCGACCACTGAAGGTCCAACCTACACGTTGCGCTTGTGTCCAATGCGGTGGTGGCGATCGTGCGGGGAGATGTCCAATGAGAAATGATGAGAATACCATAGAACAAGAAGCTACTAGGAGCAAAGGGCATCGCTACTAGGAGCAAGAACGCTACTATAGGGGCTCCTGGCCGTGCTACCAGGAACAAGAAGCTACTAGTAACAAGAAGCTACCTGGGGTTTTTGATGGGATCTCCAACACTTGGCGCGGGGACGGAAGCGGTGGTTCCCTGGATCACCCCCCTCTCACCAAGAGACAGGTGCTAAAGTGCATCATTCACAAAGATGAGGTGAACAAAGGCTGTAGTAGAACATGCAAACATGCAGGCGACCCCACCGTCCGGCAGAGATTCAGAAACTCTGATGTTTGTTCATCGCCACGGGCTCTTTCTGGAGCGGGCGTAAACGGCATCATCGTCGTGCTCCAGGCGCATCACATGTAATTAAAGAGCTGGATAGAATGAAACTTGGCAGGCCTTTCATGTGGAGTTTTCCGGTGCATCACCAGGTCCTTTCTCTTCCTGAACAAAGCGTAGGATGGCCTTGGATGGGCTCAGCCACAAAGGCATAGAATGTGGTTTGCTTAGTTGGCATTTCGCCTTATACAGACCAGCAACCCCATGCTACCCCTGCTTGGCACTTGCCACCCAGCCACCTCACAGAGAAAAGCCGCTCCTCAAAATTAAGCCAAAGCCCGCAGAGAAAAGCGCGTCGATCGCGGCCGCTAGCTATGGGGGCACCACCGGAGCTGCTGGAGAGCATCACCAACTTGGATTTGGAGGTGCAGAAAGCCTTCGAAGGCAGCTCAGACGAAAGAGTGCCTTCCACAACTCTTAACACGAAAAGAAACAAGGAAGCAATGGCCTCTTGGAGGGCCTTTCTTTCAGTGTTTTGGGCCTTTGGAATCTGACACGTTCCGGCAACGTTCGCCCCGCTATTTCAGTGCGCCCCCTGTTGGTCTAAGTTGGTAAGTTTCAACTGCAGGCCCAACCGGCCTAAACTGTTATTGCCTCCCCCTTCCTCAGGAGGCGCAGGCATAGGATCATACTGTCACTGAAAAGACACGGATTCCCATGCAACATCCACTCTTTTCATGAGGGTCACTTAGCACATCACAGCACCCTTGCTACGGTTGGAGGCCATTGCTATTGGGTTGGAGGCCATCGCTCTCAGGTCACGCAGTGCAATTGATACTATAGGCCACAAGCCTTACTACAACAGTTTTATGACCAATAAGCGCCATAAAATTTGCCTTCTGGGCTGGAAACGGAGCGCGTTTGTGGCGTGGTGCTCATTTTACAAATGTTTGCAACTCACTACTTGTCTCTTGTTCCCAACCCAGTGGAAATGAATGGGAAGTCACATCATTAGCGGGGTTGTGTGGGAGCTGGGCCGGGGAAGAATTAGGTTGACCGGACTGGTGACAGCTTTGAAACAACTGCAGGTCACGACCAGTCCTCGTGCCCCGAGGGGTTTTCCGGTTCTCCCCTCGAACATCGGATTCAGAGGGCGAACATCGCAACGAAGACGAGAGACATGGTTTGTGGTGGTTTTTGCCTCCTTTAACTCCTATGGTGACATGTTGTCAGACAACAGAACCCAAAGAAAACGGAGCACCGAAACTCCGCAACATGTCTTCTTTGACTCTTAGTCCCATTAAACTTCGATTGCATTTGTAACTGTCGCACTCTTCAGCCTAAACCAAGTGACACTTTAAAAGGTTCAGATACTTGATCTCGTTGTGAAACGCATGCGGCTACGTGTTGGCGTCTTCCGACCTGGTGCGTATTCGTTGTTCCTTATTCAGGGGTTCGTGCGTGGAGGGAGGCTGGTTGACGGCGTGACCAAACCCTCGAGCTACCTGAGCTGAGGTCTCCGGAATCAGATCCAGGGGCTCCAGCAACTGGCTCGAGGCCGGTTGAAATAGATAAAGAAGACAGAAGACACCAAGAAAGAAAGAGAGAGAGAGAGAGGGATCGGGTTCCCACATCAACTATCCGAAGAGTCAGGCTTTTGTCCGCACAGTCTTTGTCAGGGCTGGAAGAGCACAACGAGGAGGGTGACACAGAAGTTTGGCAGCTTTCGCACGAGGAGTGGCAACGATGGTCGGAGCTAACAGGGTGGATGGTTGCGAAGGATTGAGGTTGGATTTGTCAGAACTACACACAGCATCGAAACACCAGTGCTTTGCTGTAAGCCATTGTATCATATTGATTCATATTGTAGATAGATGTTTTGGATGCCATTGGATGCACCCCTCATTGGGAGCATACCCGGCACCTTCAAATGTCATGTTCGATCTTTACTGGTCCACTCTTGCTGCACCTTCTGTCCGCGAGTTAAAACGTTGGAGTGTTGAACACTATGGTCTCAGTCTGGGCAGAGAACATTGGGTTCCGAATAAACTTTTAGACATCCCCTGAACAACCCTGTGGATGTCTCCAGGATGCGGCACTGCTGGGCGAAGAATCACCGCTCACTCCTGAGGCATGTTGGCAAAAGAGTAATTACAGTGCTCATGTCAGGTGCGAGGCTTTTGGCGTGCAAACTGGGCTCGCCATCACCTTGCTGGTCTGTTAGGATCTCAACACATATTTGCTGAGAAAGGGGTTGTCCATCCGGATTGCACATTCCGAAATATGGAGCAAGCCTTTTTGGGCTACAGTACTGGTAAAGGTTGCAATGTAATATGATTGTTTTTTATTTTCCATTTTGTGTATTTTTGGGACACTGGGAATCGCTATAGGCACCCCTTGGGTTGCACGCAACAGAGACACCCTACAGTAGCAACTCCCCCTTCACAGAGCTGCGCAGAGCCGCGCTCTTCGTCAGGCGCTCATTTTGCAACGCAGCGTGCGGAGCCACGAGCATGGGATCCACGGCCCCTCACAGCTGCGCTTAAACTCGCACATGATGGAGCTCTCAATGAAGGCATGTGGAAACGTTTGGAGTGGATTGCTCAAGTGGGGATTTCCATATTATTACACAGTGATTTCAGAGTTCTTTTAGATGAGGGTCCATATAAATTGCTGGAGAAGCAGCACCTCCGGTGAATGACTCCGGGACCAGCCCACTTTACTCCCAAGTACTTGGCCAAGCTTTGGCCCAGACAGGGTCCCAGATCGCAACACCGAATGGTCTAAGGAACGACCGAGATCTGTCGTCGGGCACAGGAGATCGGTCCGAACTAGAGCCCCTAGGAGGTCGGGCATGGTCGGGCACCACGAAGATCAGATCGAAGAAGCATCGCATCCACGCACATGTAAAGGTCATGTGGCCCCTCTGTTCGAATTTAGTACGTCAACAAGACTCCGCATTTGATCGACCAGAGGTTCTTCCACTCACGTCCAGGCCTCTGAAGCCGTGGACGCGCTGGGACACAGCAACTGGAAACCTTCCGTGGTGCCTTGCTTCTGGATGTGCTGGTTCCCCCCCGTAGATTCATGACAATAGAATACAATAGACCACGTAGAGCTGAGAGCCCTAAGTACTATACACATGGAAGCAGATAATTATACAGTACGATAATTTCGGTCGACCAAGGTGAAGTGAGACAGTACCAGCGAGGAGTGGGAAAGCGTTATACGGCAGTATACGTACCGCAGTATCCGGATTTTGTTGGTTCCCCTTTGAGGGTTCATGCTAGCGTGACGCGAGCAGTCTACGCATCAGAAACAAGTGGCGGCGTAAGAAACGGCCCAACCTTCCCAGAATTCTGCACTAAGCAGGGTTGGTTCGACAACGATTGCAGAGGTTAAGAAGATGTATGAAACATGTAAAATACTGTAAGAGTAACATTTGTTGATGCTAGCTGGCAGACTTTTCACACCTTACAGAAATTGTGCTTGAGCCCGCCTTAGCCAAATGGCTAACTCTTGGAGACGGCGATGGAGAGAGAGAGAGAGAGATTTCTTGATAGGTCACCAGTGGATTTGATCACCAATGGCACCAGTGTCGGTCCACTGTCGGAGTCGGTCGTTCATCCATCCGTCTGGAGCGACGGGCCCTGTGGCCAAACGGGCCCTAAACGGGCGACGGGCTCGGTCGAACGGACGTCCAGCATAGCCTTTGTTCAGTCCCTCGATGAATCGAAGTGGTTTGAAGCCACCTCTGTATGGTTCGGACCATGGTACTCCAAACGGGCTCCACTTCCATGATTTGTTCCGGGAGTGGATAATGAGCTGTCCTCCAAGAGATCACCGTGAGCCGAGAATGTCTATGACGTCGCCTCAAGTAGGACGTCCAGCCTGTAGTCGCTTTGTTATCTTTGTTTGGGTTTCGTCCTTAAGTGGGCCGACGCCGACCCGATGCCACCCAGTTTGGGATCCCAGTTTGTCCCATAGTCATCCCGAGTACGGTTTGATCGTCATCCCAAAGCCCTCCTAAGCCCTCCTCGGCCCTCCTCACAACTGATGGCTGAGTTGAACGGCCTCGCGAGGCCAAGGGGTGTGCTGAGTTCGTTGCTGCTGGTCTTTTGGTGGGTTCCGACCTACGGTTGAGCAGAGCAAACAACTGTCTCCCAAGAATTCCCATTGGCCCAAGTCCAGCCATTGTGGGACAATCTCCGAATCGAATCTACACCCCTCGAGTTTAATGTTTCACTGAGAGTCGGACGCCTTAAGTGAGATCGTTTCATGTACACAGACAGACTTGGGTAGATGGATGGACAACTGGAGTGCACGCATGTGTGCAACCACGAATTTGTGCAGATTTGTGCCCACCAATCTTCATGTTTGATTTTCTACACACACCGTGCCGCGGCTACATCCGTACTCTACTTGCAAGTGAATAAAAGGACGGTATATAATTTCGATTAATTTCGCAAGCAGCCAAGCTGCACACCGGGTTTTGACGGACAAAAGCCATGTCCTTTTTTGGTAGATCAAAACGATTCAACACACTAAAACGGCGATTCTTCTTTTGTGACGGCATTTTCACTTTCCAAGGATTGAGCTACGGCAGAAATAAAAGAGTTACGGCAGAAAGACTTGCCTCAACAGTCTAAGTCGGCAGAAATGATTTCCTCGGCTCGCGCTGCGAACATCGGTCGCACGAGCTGTGCGTTCCCATCGTTCCCAGCGTTCGAGCCAATGGCAGGCACTCTGTTTACTCAATGGCCAATGCGAGCCAAAGTGCCAGCGGGCCGCTCGGCGAAGACCATGGCTAGGCGTTCGGACCGCTATGCTCGGTGGAGGCCATCGCTATTGGGTTGGAGGCCATGAACGCAATTCACGTGATTTCAACACGGACGTGCAAGATTCCAGCTCTTACCAATTCTTTGGAGCTTGTGTTGCCCCACTGAAGGGAAACTGGAAACAATACCGACCGACACTGTCTTCTTACCCAGTTGTGTTTACCCAAAGATACCCAAATTAATTACAAGTCACTTCAAGTCCCTTATTCTTCATTTTTCCATGACTTCAGAAAGCCCTCTTTTAATACGAAATCCCTTCTTGATGGACCGATGTTGTTCATTGGAGGGAATTCTCACCGCTGCGGGGCCCATGGGATCCTACAAAACTCCCACCTGGTGACGATGTTGGAGACGTGGAAACTCCAATGCTATTTCTTATATGTTGTCACCTTGATAAATACTCTAAATAAACCATTTGCGAGTCAACCAATTCCAAGAAGCAGCTCCTCAACCTGTCGCGATGTTGCCTTCAATATCTCAGCCTCTCCTCGCGACGACCGACCTTCCGCTGTAGCGGCGATGTGAGGATCGTACTACCTGGCTGCGGGCGGGTGAAAGCGGTCCCGCCAGATTCAAAGTTCCGCATTGCTTGGGATCTCTTCGGCATGATGTTGATGGTGTGCGATGCGTTCGTGTTTCTCGCAGTCAGGCTTATGGAGCTGCGTCGTTTCGATGCAGAGTACCTGGCGTTATTATTTACATATGGAGTTCACATGCACACGTGTGAAATTGCACTAATATGCACTAATCCATATTAATCGTTGAATGCATGGTTGGACTATTGACCGCCAAAAAAGTAATGTACTCACTTAAACTCTTTTCTATGACTTACGTGGCCTTGATTTACAAGGAGCAGATTGTTTAGACAAGCAGTCCCCATGCAGTGTTTGTGTGTGTGGGCTGTGGTTTGCTGAAGCAAGTCGTGTGACCCGTGACATTGGGAATAATTGGGGTGGCGGTGGCAGCGATGCTGTAATTATCAATCAGATAGCATTCCTCTTTCCAATAAGGAGAATGTAGGTGGCTTGGATGACTAGTGGCACATCCAACTACAGCATTGAGGCACCTTTTCTACAGCTTAGGTGTTGACCTTCCAGCAATTCAGAAACCAGTCATCTCATTGTACCGAGGCTGCCAGTTTGCATGGCGTGGGACTTGAACATCACGCCCTTTCCACAGACTTACTGGGAGCGAGGCATGTTGCAGGCACGACGCCTGGGAGCTAGGTTTGAAGAAGCGTAATCCAGGACTAAATTGGAGGCCTGGCAGCCTTCCATGAAGGTCCACAAGATCCATCCAAACGAATGGTCCAGGCTTGCAAAGGATGGGTTTAACATTCACACACAGAGATTTATAATGATGATATATATATATATATAGTCTTCACTGCTGATGCAGATAGCACCATTTGCGATTGGGCAGGTCTTTGCCATCGTGTCGTTGGCTTTTTGGCCGCTGGATATTGCTGCTCGGATTTGCAAGGGGAAATGGCTGAGCCGGTGGGAACCGGTGGGAATTCCAGTGATCCAGGAGTATGCTTAGTTCACCATGGCCAAGGCAGACTTTGTCACCTCTCCCTCCTTCCACTGGTGGTTTGTAAGAACCAACACCTGGTATCACCTGGGTAGGTAGCTATCGAGCTCCTAGCCCGTTGGCTAAAATGCTGCAAAACACGGAGCTTCTTGAGGGTGTGATGGCAAGGAGATCCAGATATCGGCTCTTTTTCATACCTGCAAGTAGCTGCACTGTGTACTAGCATCTTGACATGGCATTCAGACCAGCCACCTGGCTTCTTGGCCTGTGCTTGAAAGGCTCTCAACTTCTTCACCGGCTTCCACGTGAAAGGTCATTATAACTATGCCCTGTGGGCGATTGCCAAGCGCTACATGCAACTCGGCAGCATCCTGTTGAAAGGTGAATGATGTTGCACTAGACCTGCGTGCTACGAGCATGTCGCCATTAGAAGGCACCAGTTGCCTGCGGTTCCACATATCAACAGCCCAAGAGGTGAAAACGTGTTGGTTGAAAACGTGTGCCAGCAACATCCTGTTGGTGCGTTCGCCAACTGGGACGTCAGGATTGGCTGACACACTGGGACCAAAGGATCTTACGAGGATGTTCAACGTGAGTTTTCGCCCACCTCAGACAGCCGAAGAACAGGATGTCTCTCCGGAGCCAAGGTTCACCGGTTTGGAGTGATACGCCCCCGGTCTGATAGCTGCCAAGAGAAGAGCCAGCAATTGATGCGAACTTGGAACCACCTGCTCTCTCGGAAGCCATCGGAAGCCTCCAACTGGAGATCTGCCGTCAACGCTGGGGTTCCATGCCTAGTGGATCCACTCATGATCCACTGGAATCCCGACACCTTTGCGCCCGGTGTGGCTCGGGTCCCCCTGACGCCCATGCGACGACGTTCGTTGGTGCGAATAAAGACGGCAGGATGACATGGTTTGCCTTCGACTTGTCGGTCGTCACGATCGATTATGGTGCAGCTTTTACGCCCCTTGGATGACTCGGGTACGCGCGGGGTGGCCCCAACGTGCGCGACAGGCGGGGCGAGCATTCTGGAGGTGAGCAAAAGAAAGTGGGAAGGCTTACAGTAACTGTTTTGCCACTGCCTTTGTTTGTGCTTTGTTTGACATAAGTTTGACCCTCGAAACATCGTTGCAGATCGCCAACATGCAACATGGGGCGCCCACCAAGGCCCTGAATGGGGTGCCCCACCCTCAGGGTGCTATGGGCTTGCAGGATTTGTACTTGTTTGGAAGCTTCAGACTGGTTGAAAGGCTTTGAGTAATAGTCGTTGGATGTCGTTAGTAGCTGTTGTTTTTGAGAGTTCTCCCGAGAGTTCTCCCAATTTGAGCTGATTCCTTTTGGATATGTGTCGGGTGATCCTTGTTGATGTAAGGGAGCTTATATGAGCTTCTACGTGCCGATGTGTCACATATTGTAGCTCAATGCAACATTTATGGATTGGATATAGAACCAATGCCACTGCCTATGATCCAAGGACCAATCGCGGGGACTCCTGCAATGCACACACGCGCACACCAGCACAACTTACATGTGTTTACATGTGTTTGCACATTTGCGGATACAAACTTTTGCCAGCCCTAAGCAGTTGCCAAGGCATTTCATCCCGCGAACTTAGGAACTCCCTGACCTTTTCGGCTCTCACCCCTCGTGTCAGTTTCCTGGGCGTCATGTCGCAAGGATCACCGGCACTGAAGACGATGCCGCTGGCTTTCTGCAGCCACTGCGCTCTGCACGGTACCTACGAGTCCTGCGGACGCTGATCGGGGGAGGATCTATTCACGTCAAGCGATAGGAAGCTGAAGAAGTGAGATGGGCTCATCTCACTGAGACTAGTTCGCCTACGTGCCTTTCCTGTCCCTACACATGGGTCCCGATAGCGGATAGTGGGTAGCCTCACAAAGCAACACATGACATGAGGCAGATATTGGGACCGATGGAGCTGCACAAAATCATGGGACATTTGACCAAGAGATTGCACAATCCACAGCAATCCCTACGTCACTGGAGATCAATTTATATAAGCTTATTGTGAGCCAGGTTGACCACCGGTATGCCACCTGCGGTTCTGCCGTTCCTTCCTTATTGTTTTCGTCATCGGTGTTTGGGTCCAGTTATTTGGCCTCAGCCACGCATGCTCACGCACGCGCAGCTGGCTCACACGACCGAAGAGAATCAGAAAACAAGAACTTTACACCATTCATGGTAAACATGCAGTGCATAGACGCCGCATAGACCTGGGCCCCCAAACAGGCGGCAATTTGCTGTGTTGAAGTGAAATTTTATATAAATATATATACGTTTCAAGAGAGCTAGCCGCCATGATCCCAAAAACCTGTTAATATTTGGAAGGCCCTCGGTTGACGTTGCATATTACTTTTTGGGGGGAGCAGTTGACCTGACGCGACGTGATGCATATACCCGAAAGATAGAGATGTCACGTCTATAAGACCACCATCCGCTAGACAATTGTGGCCGGGGTCCGCTCAACGCATCCTTGCGTTTGTCCTGGTGGGGTGAAGAAGTTGAGTTAAGGTTGTGGTATGGCATCTTCCACAGATGAGGTCGCTAACATGATCCAGTGACCAGTGTCTTTTGGCCATATTCGGCAAGAGACTTGAATCCATCAGGGGTCAACCTCAGCCATACTCAGTCCCGGGATATCCGCCCCTTCCCAGTGCCATTCCTGAGGATGGTCCGGATATTGCGGATTTTGAAGGCTGGAAAGGTCAACGTGATGCTCGAGAACCTGGTGTTTCTTGGTCCTGGCGCCGCGTTCTTTCGGGTTCAGCGGTTGCCGGTTTTGGAAAAGAAAGCGGTGGGCTGTCTCGACTTCGAGCGTTTCGGGCACTTAAAGCGGTCGCCGGAGGCTTGCAGAGGTTTTCTTACTCCATGCCCAGGCACCGAATGATGTTTATACCCCCTCCTATATGCCGTACAGTGTATATACAAATAGTGTTTCATATATATATATATAGAGAGAGAGAGATATAGATTTAACTATACTGTATATATATATATATGTGTGTATTATATATTGGGTTTGTCCTATAACCTGTAACAGTCAGTTAACAATTATTGCTATTTTTGAACAAGGCTTTTACTAACCATCATCATCCACTGTTACAGTTACAGGTATTAGGATACACCCAATACATATATATATATAGGGTCTTGGGTGTTCGTCGGGTGTCAACTGCGGAGTCCACGAAATAGGTCGAAGGCAGAGAGGTTCAACGACCTGCGTGATGAGGATCGCCATGGGCCGACAATGGCTGATCCTAGGCGTGCGCAGCTCTGGGCGGGTTGAGCCGATTTTTGTTGCGCCAAGGGGAGCCATCAGCCGATTCATGATCCTATAGCATAATATAGGATATAGGGTAGCGGGGTAGTGCGTTTGATATTGGATTCTCCAGATGGGCTTTCTATGAGCAAGCACTTTTATTCATTCTATACTAAAGTAGTCTGTATACAGCATGCTCCATTTGTTTGTCCAACATCAGTAACATCAGTATTTAGGTGAACGAGATAGGGCCCCCACATAAACGAGATACTTTTCTTAAGAGACTAAAGTAGTCTGAACGAGATGCTGTGATTTGCTACTAAAGTAGTTTGAACCAGATACTGTGACATGACCTCCTGCTCCAGTAGTCTAAACGAGATAGGGCCCCCACATACTAGAGCGATGTGTTTTTGAGTTTTGTCATGAATAAATCGCCGCCGCTCACACACACAGGAAGTTAAACCCGTTGAAAAAACACACAACCAAGGTGAGAATTTGAGTGAGAGTTTTGGGACACGGGTCGCCCCGAGAATGTTTGTAATGTTTGTTGGTTAATTTCCTGTCAACAGAAAGAACTCAGGATAGCATCAGATGTTTTACATATTCTATTTTACCACATTGCAGTAATTTTACTGAATGTACATGTCATCGTGACCCCATGAACCCTTTGTGACGTTGCCTCGTGATCAAACCTTCGTGGCAGCCTTCATGGTGGGGAAGATGCTCATGGCGATTGGGCTGGTCACGCACATTTTGACCTGCTTGTGGTTTTGGCTGGGGAAGTTGGTCCACGAGGCGTGAGACAGCGCGTAGCGGGCGCCTCAACGTGACCGGACGCCGCAAAAACCAGACATCGCTGGATTTGGTGGATGAAGAGGAATGAGATGGGCCGTTTTGACATTGGTGGAACCAATCCGCTTGACTTGGCCGACTTGGACTTGGTTCTGGGATATTTCGTGGGACCTGTGACCTGGATCGCTAGACTTGGTGGGTGGTTTTGTGGTGAAACCTGCACTGGAGAGAAAAACGCCCTGGGTATACACACATCAGGTTATTAATGGCAATTATATACAAATTACAACCCACAGAAACTGCTGAGCTTGGGTTTGTTGTGGAGACCGTAGTGGTGCCCTTCTTTCCTGGCAAGTCTTGCTTGACAACCTCCATGTCCAGCTTCCTGTCCAGGAAGGCATTCGAAAGAGTTGGCTGGATTTGGCGAACGTCACCGAGCTGGATTTGGGCCTCCAATACGTGCCAAGGCAAAACTTGGCGCGGTGCCCAACAGAATGTAATGTAATATATATAAGAAGCCTCTTTCAGCACCCTCTGAGTCGGGACAAAAAGCATACGAATACATCCGAAGATCTGTAAGATGTACAACAAGTATTCCTCGCCCTTCCTTGGCCGTTGTTCATCTGTAAGATGAGTTGTCATCATTTGTGGACAAACACTGTTTGGATGATTTGTCCGATGTTGGGACACAATTTGGCGCCTCAGCATGAAATGCCCGGTCCTGCGGGTCAGGCAGCTGGACGGGTCAACGGTGAACCCGACGTTCCGAGGTGGAAGAGGTTCCCAGGCCCAAACACCATAGAGCCGTAGCGCTGATAGGGTCTTGATATATCGATATCGACGATATCGATTGCGCCTGGACGTCCCTTTCAGCATCCTTGAAAACATCTTGAAAACGGCCCAGACGCCGAGGCACATTCCGCCAGCTGGATCTTGTTGCCACCTTCGCCTCCGACGCTGGAACCCGACAGCCGTGTCTCGGCCTGTGCGGCAACCGAGAGGATCCAGGAGACAAGGAGAATTATATTATATAATATTATATATATATATATCGTCGGACGTGTTCCGGTTGATGGAGGGCTCTCTTCACACACCCAAGGGCTGTAGGGGATTTTTCAATGCGATGTTTCATGTGTTGCATTGGTGGAGTAGAGGGGATGGGCCTACGTAACAATCTCAACATATCTCAACATTGTGACGGAGATTCTGATTTAATTGCCCACCGTGAGTTTTGAAGGCTTGTAGTGTTTGCCAACAAGAAGACAGGTAAGTGTTTTTGAATCTCGGCTAATCCTGAAAGGACAAGTCAAATTCCCATCTTTGTTTGCGATTGCGTTAATGACAATTCCTGTCTCATCATGTCGACGACCTTTGATATGCCCCCAGTTTACTGCTTAGAATTCACCTGAATTCACTGTTGATTGAGCGTTGTGGGGGTGGACGTTTCCAGAGAAACAATTCTTTCCCGGTCGCCACAATGGACCCCAAACCTCAAGCTTTTGGCCCCATGGCCCTTTTCATCAATCCGCTGAGAGCAGGCTATCACGGAACAATTGCTAGTGCCTGGTAGTGGACAGTGGGCCGGTTCCACTTCTGGCAATCACACATATTATATATATATATTATATGTATATATTATATATATACATGTAGAGAAAGAGAGATCAATTAATATATAGTTTAGTGATCTAATATGTTGTTTTTGAGGGGCCTCCATCACATCACCACCCCCTTCGCCTCGATCCCCGTCTCTCCCGGTCGCCTCCCACCGTCCGAGGTGTGGAGCGCCTGGCGAGTCTCATGTGCTTCGCCGCTTGGACGGAGACCGGCGACGGCGGAGAGCGAACGAGGGCCACCGGGGCTTAGCTTCTTTGTGTGGAAGTGAGCACTTGCAATGTAAATGTTGACAAGACATGTGGCCCGGAGACATACTGAAGACACCTTTAGTAGTATATCATTTTGATATAGCACACGTCAGTGTTTCCAATGTGAATCAAGTTGGAGATGTTCCGTTGAGCGAATGTGAAAGACCTGTCTTTCACAGCTTCACCGGGGCGACGGCTTGCGGAATTACAATGCTCACTTTACGCATCTTGACACACTCAAATATTTGGTATGTCATCATGGAAGTGGAACAGAGGCTCAGAGGCTCGTGGAATACCTCAAACCCAGCCTCAAACCCTTTGCAAAGCAGTTTTAAGCAGTTTTGCTCAGCTTACATCATTGAAGAAGGGTGCGTTCGCACGTGCTTGCACACCCCGGAGTCCATCGGACTTCGTGCCATTCGGAAGACCGCAGAGGGACGGTGTCCCAGGTCACTACAGTCCTGGTGATCGGTTCCGCCTTGTCCATTCTCACGGGCACCTTGAACGAGATTCGCCAGGCGCGACGACGGCGAAGAAGTCGTCCGGGCAGACGAAACAGTCACGAGTTGGTGGTTTATCATGGTTTATCCAGTTTGTTCGGCTTACTGTTATTTCTATTCTACCTGGACCTTCCTTTGGTACACATAAAAGTGTTCAAGGCTATTTTTGATACACATTGTTGTTGCTCGAGCGTTTTTTGGTTGACCAAGTCAACTCGAGCACTTTTTCTTGAGGGCTTGTGGTGGTTGAGCTTTCGTGAAAAAGTTGCAGTTGATCCATGATGATGTGGATATGGCTCAAATAGTGCCTTTGGGATCCTTTTGGGCCTTTTGAGATGGTGATGGACCTTGACAGGAGCATGCAAGGTGGGAATGATGGTTGGGATGGCATGATATTAATAAATGATGTGGTGTGACCAAATGACCCAATTGTTTAGAACTCATGATGCCTTGGAGGTGTCAAGTGGCAAGCTGGCATTTCACCAGAAGCTTTCGAATCCGTTCTGGGCAAAGTGCTTTGGTGTGGCATTATGTTCCTTTTGATTGGCCAAGTGTGTTGATGCTCTCATCGTGTTGCATGCATTGTTCTGAATGTCGCATGCATGATGAATGCGTGGCTGTTGCATGCATGTTGCTACACCCTGATCTTCGTGTCGATTGTCTGGGACAATCTCTGTAGCATTTGGCTGAAACAATGTCGTTCTGGGAGCAGGCTTCGGTTCTGGCCACAGCGTGGGCCAATGATTGTGAGATCAAAGCATTGGGGGCAAAGCACTCTCTTTGCATAATCCAGAAAAAGAAAATAACCAGAAGATCCTCAGATGCAATTGTATCATAATCACTCATGAGACTCATGCGATTTGTTGTGCATGCATCAAAGGCATAAGTGCTCGCCTTTGCCTTACTGTAAGGTGATGTTCGCCAGAATGTTGACCAGGTGGCCCTTGCTGTAAAGCACTTGGGACTTCGACCGTCCCAGGGCATGTTCGAGCAAGCAGTTCACCAATTTTGGTCGCTCTGCCTTCCTCGCTCTGAAGAAATTTGTAGTGCCTTGGCTTACCGATGATTGCACCCATGCATGTCTGGAGTTGAGCACGCATAACATGGCTGTGATTGACTGCATGCATGCCTTCCCAATGTCATGACCTTGTTGTTTTTTGTCTTGCTGCTTGTGCAGGCACCAAACTGAAGATGCAAGCGCGGTATATCAAGAAACTTGTGTATCGGTTCTCGCGCATGGCTAAGAAACACGGCTGAAGCTGTAGTTGATTGAATGGCAACGTTGTAAATGTGGTATACCCATATTCAGTTCCATGCTGCACACATTGGAGGGGGGTTGTTGGAAGCCTACTGAGGAGACCTCACCAGCCTAAGTGCAAGAAAATCCAGAAGCTGTATGCTGCAGCTGGTATCAAGATGCCAGGAACTTTGCTACAACTGCAGATCAATGAACATGTATTTTGAATTTTGCAGGATCCAAAAAGAATGAATCATGCAATGAATCGTCCGGCAGCACAAGTTCAACATCTGCTTTGGGCTTACAGTCTATATACATATATATATATATATAACTTGCAAAACATGGCAAAGCAAAGCGTTTTGTGACTTGGTGCAAATACATTGGCAGTTCCTTAGGATGATGAGGATGATGAGAGTGAAAATGATGTGGACGACAGTGGTGATGCTGCAAGCCCAGGTGATGGACCAGGCCTGCAAACATGCATGCTGCAATGAGAACGCTTGATGTTTTTCAGCGTTGGTGATGAGGCAGCTGTTGGTCCACACCGCCACCATGTCCAGGCAAAGAACTGCTCTTGCAGGTGTCCATCTCAAAAGGGGTTGAATCTGTTTGCAGGACCGGTCATGCAGGACCTCGCCAGTAGTGACAAAGTCGCCCGACCTTTGGAGTTTGGTTCCTTAGCATGAATGTCATGCAGGTTTATCTTTTGCATGCGCCAGTCTTGTCCCGATTCAGTCAGATTGCTGTTTTGAGGCAATCAGCCAGACCTTGATGCAAAGATGCTGTTGTTGCGAGAGCTCCGTGAACTTGAAGAGCTGCTCGAGACGAGAGCTGCCATGGCACAAGCTCCTGAAGTTCCAGGTCCTCTTCCTGAAGCTCAGATCAGCCGAGTGCCGCCTTTGCCACGGGGACCAACCATACCCGAGCAGCCATTGGTTGGTCTGAAGCTTATATTATAGTTGCACCTTGTATGGGTTGTGCTTGCCTCAGCACGTCACTCTTTATATGCTGTGCTGAGACCCTGACAACGATGATACCCAACCCATGGAGGTTGGTGGATTTACCGATGCGATGCCTCCAAAGCCTGTGGAGGCATGTTTAACTTGTTCTGTGAATGTTGTGAATGTTGCTTTCATCAAATGCCTCATCAGCAAACCATCAGATCGGGTATCACCTAGGAGACTGAGGAGACTGTTGAGAGGTCAGCCATGAATGCAGCAGTGCAAAAGCTGCTGGACCAGGAGTGCATTCCACCGCCAGCAAAGAAGAAGAGAGTAGCCAAGAAGAAGGAGGCAAACGATCAGCCACAGCATTTGTCAGCAGATGAAAGTGATGAGGACAAAAAACCATCGGAAGCCGCTGAGGATGAAATGGACAAGAGAGAGTCGAAGGACAACACTTCCAAAGGCACACCGCTGGCTGAAGCCAAGGTGAAAGGAGAATCGAAACGAAGTGAGGCTAAGAAGGCCAAGCAAGTTGTTCGGGGTGAGGGACCTATCCCAAAGGAGGCTGCTGAGCATGGACTTGGCGCAAAAGAGGCTGAGGAGAAAGAAGAAGATGGAAAGGGAAAGAAGCCGCGGAAGATCAATGAAGAAGCGAAGGCAAAGAATGCGAGGAAAAGCAAAGCATATGGTGCTGCAAAGCGGCAAGCGCTGAAGGATGGCCTGAGTGTGGAAGAAGCTACAGCTTTGGCCAAGGAGGCTACTCACTGCAATTACTTGAATGGCATTGAACTGCCTCAAATCGTGTTGATTCATTGCTATACGTGTTTTGCATGCATGATATTTGCTTATTATATAGTCTCTTTCCCAGAAGTTGTTGTATCTGAGGCTTACCGCAATGCAAATTGATGGAATGATGGGCTTGCTTTTAATTTGTTTGACTTATCAAATAGGGAATGTGTAATTCACATGTTCCGGTGCCTGCTGGAAACACAAAGTGTGAAGGCATCTTGTGTGTGGAGCAGGCGCAGCTATAGGTTCTGCACGATGCAATCCTATGCACGCCTATATATGTCGTTGAAAGCTTGACCTGAGTGCCATCGCGTAAAACAGTCTGGATGGCATTCATCCATGCATCTCATGGTGAATGACACTCACTTGATTGCACGAGTGGATTTGTTGCATGAGTGGTTGTTGTGGTCAGACTTGCATGCATGCACGAGTGGTTGTGGTGGATAGATTCGCATGCATGCATGAGCGCTTGTTGCAAACAGACTTACATGCATGAATGGTTGAACTGTTGCATGCATAAGTCATTGCTTGCTTTGGTCACTTGAGTCTCCCCTAAAAGTATATATTCTCAGGTGCATCGCTTTGGTGCGTGATTGGTGTGGCAATCTGGAGAAGTGCGCCCTTGACATTAAACATGTTTGCGGAACTGGTGCTGTTGATTTGCAAAGTCATGAACGTTCCTTTGTGTACTTAGAGCTGTTTGGCTCAGAGATGCTGATGCTGCACTGACGAACGTTGGCCATGGATGAGGCCTGAATGCATGCATGTAGCTTAAGTATATTATTTTATATGCCAAGCTGTTGGTTTCCCCATGCTGCAGGAGCATGGTCGGAAGCGTTCGTCAAAGGCAAACGTCCCTTGGTCTGCAATATATATATATATATGAATTTTTGAGTTCAACCATCAGCAGCCTGGAATCTTCCGTCTGCCCAGGATTCCGATCGGGCGACCAAGAGACTGACCTGGATCGAGGTCTTGCAGAGATGTGAGGCTATTGAGAAAGAATGCATGTGAGTTTTCTCGTGGCATGCATCTTGTTTGCTGTCCAGGTGTCGCAGAAAACTATCCACAAGATCGACCAGGCTGCTTAAACCTGCATGTATGTTGGTGCTTTGCCACTCCGGCGCGGCAGGATGCTGAGCTTCGGAATGCCATGATGGTTTTTGCTGGATATGTTGCCCGGATGGCTACGGAGGACCCTGTGGTGAGAGATGCATATATCGACAAGTGCAATAGATTCAATTGTTGAGACATGATAACATCATGATAACATCTATTCTGGTGGTGATCATCCTGCAGGAAGCGACAATGCAAGAACAATGCGATCCTGGCCAGTCCTCTGGCACCTCAAGGCATGTTCCAAGTTGTTGCACCCATGAATGATCCAGTCATTGTCTACATCTAACTGCAAACATGTTTGTGTGTATCTAGGCTGGAGAGGTTGCACGCATAGTGATTGAGTGCTTGCAATCAAGTCGGGGTGCTTTGCATACAAGTGTCTTGGATGGAATGCATGCACAGTGATTGAGCGATCACACACATCAGGGAGTGATCAAGTTGCATGCATGTGTCTTGGGTAGATTGCATGCATGTTGGTTGTTGGTCGCACTCATGTGTGGTTGTGTGGCTCACGGCATGTCCATTTGAGTTGTTGCACGCATGAGTGATTGGCTGCTGCTGCATGCATGAGTTAATTGGTTGCACCATGTTGCATCTGCAGATGTATGTGACTCTTGGTTGGTCGACTGATGCCAGGAATGACACCGCAAAAGCATCGGCTGCCGCAGATTCATCAGAACCAGCCACAGCCAGAAGCCCTGCTTGCAACACCATGGGCACGCAGCAGCAGCAGCAGTGTGATGCCACGGCAAAAGACTCCGACTCAGAGTCTGGCATGAAAATGGGAGGGTTCAAACTTAGGCCAGATGCATATCTGCAGCCACCAGCAAAAGAAGTGACACCTGTACACAGCTGGAGTCGCAAAGGGATTCCGCAGACTGTTGTGGTACCACCCCCGCCAAGTGTGCCGCGTCCACGCCCTGTCC